AGACATTATACAAAAGTCGTTTGCTTGGGTACCTCTGTCCTATCGTGTTTCAACCGTGAAGTAGCTGTTTTTGCATGGCTGTGTTTCGGTTTGAAGGGTGGGATATGGCGTGAATTTACAGGGTACAGAGGAATAACACCTGAGTCCTCAGGAATGGCAACGCATGGGGGGTATCATGGGCGAAACAGTGTTACTCTGTTATGTCCACGGTACTGACGGAGACATTATACAAAAGTCGTTTGCTTGGGTACCTCTGTCCTATCGTGTTTCAACCGTGAAGTAGCTGTTTTTGCATGGCTGTGTTTCGGTTTGAAGGGTGGGATATGGCATGAATTTACAGGGTACAGAGGAATAACACCTAAGTACTCAGGAATGGCAACGCGTGGGGGGTATCACGGGCGAAACAGTATACTCTGTTATGTCCATAGTACTGCTCATGTGTATAGGCGACGGTTACCACTTTCCATCAGGTGGGCCGTCAGCTTGTTTGCCATTCTAAGTTGTATAGAAAAAAACCCACCAAACTGAGCATTTACATTTAGAATCTTGGTGTTGCTATCATGTGACCATATTAATATTATGAAAAGGGAAGGATTTTGCTTGCTATGCATTCGTGTTCGATTTATTATTCTAAGTTCCTTAAAATGTGGCCTGCATGAGTCCATGTAATGAAGACCACACAACGTTGGTCAGACAGTTTACTGTTAAAGTGCAAGATCTTATTACATTTTTGTTACTGCTACATGTAATATTGAACTGAAACGCCATCTCCGTGGTATAAACAAAACTATGTCACCGATTTTAAGGATCCTTTCCTGTGTCAGCTTTTGCTTTTTGCTGCATTATAATTTTTTAGTGACTCTAAAGATCTTGATTTGCCTATTCGTTGTTTTCTTAAGATGATATCTAATATGTTCATTTCAACTTTTTCGCTGTTGGATTTTTCGGATGTTATTTCCTTCGACCAGAACTCTGAACATGGAACTCGTTTCTATGTTTGAGTGTAAACAATATTAAAAGGTTCTTACTTAATAACTAAAGTTGCTTATTCACTATTTTTACAAAATCCACGCGTTCGTCCAGTTCAACTTGGCTAATCGACCGTGTATGGGAGTTGTATGTGGACCCACCAAACTAAGCATTTATATTTAAAATTTTCTTGTTTATAACATTTATCTATATTAATATTATAAGAGAGAAAGGACCATTTTAAAACTTCTTACATCAAAGCTGCATTATCAGCCAGTAACATAGGCTAATATTTTTGGAAAATTCTATCTGCCCGTGCCAAGCCGGATCGGATCGCTGGTCCAGACTTATCGACTCTTAGAGCATATCACCAAATTGTTACTGGTAATATTGCGTAGTCTTGCTACACAGGTAATAGTTATTACAACTTGTTAACTAAATACCTTATCATATTAATCAATTTATGATTGCTTTCTTTAAGTTCTTTCGTGGTGTGTCTGTGGGAATCTATCCATTTATTAGCTCTTGCAGGATTATTGAGAGCGTCTACAACTTCTCTAGTATAGTGACTGGTTGTGCGTTGAGTCTATTAATAAATATAACTATTTAGTCTAAACCTAAAACAAAACTTTAGCTAAAGAGGTGGACAGTGACCCAGGAAGGAGCGTCGATCGATCCGATTGGCCGATGATGCGCTGTCTTACCGTAGGAGATGTAACGTGGTATTTTAAATCTTGATCAGTTCTGGATCGATATTGGCGTGTTCCACTATTTCCAATTTTCAAATTAAATTATTTATTTAAAAACGGTAAATTAAAAATATGTCTTAATAATATTTCGTAAGTGCAGTGTATTCAGTCCGGATGCAACATTTTAACTGTCAAACATAATAAAGTTATTGGTAAAATTAAATTATTATTTAATAATATAAAAAAAAAAAAAAAACATGAGAAGGAACATTATAAGCTCTTTATCTCAAATGATGTTTCCATATAGTTAATTAAGTAAATTTTGAAAGCTTTGTTTACTTATATATAGGCATTATAAAGAAATTTAAAAAATAAAGTATTTTCCCCTAATATCTATGATGTTGGTCCTTGGAGCTTTACTACATATTTTTTCTTTTTATTTTATATGGATTGCTTTTCCAACTGCTATTTCACTTCTTCTTTACAATACATTTAGTAATTAATATTTAACTAATATGGGTATTAATTTATTACTTAACATATGACATTCTAAGATATCCCTATAGTTCCAAAACCGATTTGTATATATAGCACCTTTCGATGGTTCTTTTCCTACTTTTTTTTTATCTGCACTATCTTTATATTGCAGCAATCCTTTTGCTTCAAGCAGAGTCCGTAACTCAAATTTTCATAATTGAAACGATGTCTCATCATCTATAGACCAATCTATACCATACTAACCCGATGAATTTCCTCTACTGTTGCGATGGCCAGAGTTCCTCAGTTTAAACTTTTTTTACATATACTTTTTGCACTTCTTTTTTAATAGATTTTATTTTTTATTATATTTTACGGACCAGAGATGCAAAGATATAACTTGTGATTGTATGATGTCATACAACGAAACATTCTGCACCGTCGTATCTTAGATGTAATTTTATGACATCCGTGAAACAAGAAAAACATTCGATTTCTTTTTCATATGCGAAATAAAGTTATTATGACCCAAGACATTGTTGTATTAGATTATAGAAGAAACATGTGACGTTGTCCAAGTGCAAAAGCAGCGGAACAGTTGAGTTGTTATCTCCGCTCCTTTTAATACAGGAACAACTTGATGACCCTGATTAAATTTATGTCTGCATCTGAAGTTAGATAACGAAATGATCTTTAGAAGACCGAGTTCGATTCGGACATCTCCGATATAGACTCATCGTGCTCAGAAATAACGGTCCCTTGCGGGAGTTCCGCAGCGACTTTCTCACCTATGTCCACCTCACTCTCTGCCGGGGAGTCCTCGCTGATGAATTTGCGGACTATTTCTTAACTTTGTGAGTACTGATGTAATTAATTTTTTGCTAGTGGTTGGGCTCGATTTTATGGACACGCCAGATGTGTTTTCGAATGTTTTTATTCGAACCGGCCTCTGTTGTGGCTCGAGTTTTTTCGTATTTTGCATATTTTGGATATTACAACGCACCAGATATACTTTTTAAAGTTTTTGTTCAAGCCGTCCTCTATTGTGGCTCAGGTTTTACAAATTTAGTCATTTCGGTAGTGGTATTGGTATTTTTTCAATTTAATTAAATTCGGTATTAATTCTTTGTACTGTTTCAGATACACGATCGTAGCTGTGAACTCCTTTGAATCTCTGTGAGGCTAACGCCACCGATTTCCTACGTAGATTATTAATACTCTTAAGGTGATTTTAAATCAATAAAACTTCATTTTTTACATTTCTGAATATCTACGCTGTGCAAAGTAGTATCTAAATGTTGAGGTGCTATGAATCATTTTTAGCACCGAATTTAGAACTACCATTGCTTACAGATGCATGAGAGTCCCATATAATTCCAATAGGTTCATCAACGGAAACAATATTGTGGAGTGTCGCCGGATTTTGAAGGCCTTGACAAAGTTACTACCATTGTCTATTCGTAATGCGACCATTTTCTTCACATGTAGCTTAAATTCGGCATAAACTCATCGTACATACATACATACATATCTGTCACGCCTGTCTCCCATCAGGGTAGGCAGAAACAATGGAACGCCAAATGCTTCGATTCAAACAAACCTCTTTCGCTTCTTCCACATTCATCAATCTTGTCATACACGCTCGCCGGTTACGGGTACTTTTAATTTGGCCCTTCTTCAGCACGTCGCCTATTTGGTCGACATACGTCCGTCTAGGGCGGCCCCTACCGACATCTCCATTCATTCTTGCTCGATAAATCTCTTTCGTAATTTGGTGGGTTTTATAGGAGAAATCTAGGTGTGGCAGGGATAACGAAAAGGATTTGAGGACTCACCGTCTTGTCGTGGGCTATCATATGATGTCCTGTGCAGGCGCCTTGATTTCTTCCGTCACTTTGTCACCAATGTACACACACTAAAATATTGTCTATAACACAGCACTTCAAAATTATGTAAGCGGCAACGCTTTAAATGTTACAGTTTGCAGCACAACAATTTTATTAATATTTTCTTAAACACGTAATTACTCGTTGATTGCGGAGGTCACATTGACGGTTAGGATTGAAGACAGCTCTGAAGTTTCTTATAATCTTCCAGCGTCCTCATTGGTTGTTATAACTCGGAGGTAAAGACGATGACGGTGATTGGAGAGGATAGGATCAAGGGAAATGAATTTAGCACTAGGTATCGATTATTATTATTGAACTAGCATATATAATGAGAATAAATTTATAATTGTTACGAAAAATATATAAAATTAAAGAAACGCGCGAACATGCACCCAGCCTTGAGAATACGTAGTATTTTCAACCTAGTAATATATTAAATAAGAATTTGAGAAGATTTAATTAAATTATTGAGATGGTAAAGAGCAAAGTTTTATTACGGGACGTTTGTATATGCCACTACATGTTTTTACTAACGCGACGCGTACCCTACCGTCTGTCCCGGGATAAGTTTCCATAATTATGCCCATAGGCCAACGCAATGGAGGTACATCGTCTTGATGTACTAACACAACCGTGCCGGGTTTTATATTTTCAGTATTAGCAAGCCACTTCTGTCGTACCTGTAAAGTATTAAGATACTCCAAACGCCACCTTTTCCAATAGCTGCTAACTATTTTATCAAGTAGCTGCTTACGTTGTCTAAGACTTCGAATGTCCTCGGATACGTTTTCAATGGGTAAGTGCAAAAGGGGGGAGGCCATAATGAAATGCGCAGGAGTTAGCGGTTCAGGATACGGTTCCTCCGTTAGTACGCAGAGAGGTCTTGAATTTAAAATTGTCTCTATTTGTGTTAAAACAGTTAACATTTCCTCGTACGTGAGTAATTGAGAACCGATTGTACGGAATAAATGGGTTTTTATACTTCGAATATTTGATTCCCAAGCCCCCCGAAGTGAGGGGCGCGGGGCGGGATCATATGCCATTCAATACGGTTATTAAGCATAAGATCATGGAGTTGAGCTTTTGCACCAACGAAATTTGTTCCATTATCAGAATAAAGACATGAGACCGGTCCACGCCGTGATATAAAGCGTTTAAAGGCAGAAATGAATATATCAGATGAAAGGTCTGTGGCTAACTCGATATGCACGGCTTTTGTTACAAGGCAAATAAATAGGCAAATGTAAGCCTTTTGTGACTTTTGACCACGGTGTCTGCGTAACGTTATTTTTATAGGTCCAGCGTAATCCACGCCGGTGTGCACAAAGGCTTTCGTTTCACGCACGCGGTACGGAGGCAAGTCCGCCATTTTTGGCGCCTTGCTTGATGGAGAAGCTTTAAAACACTTGTTACAGGAGTGGACTCTTTGTTTAATTACACTTCTGGCTGATATAATCCAATATTTTTGTCGTAGTAATGAAGTCAATAATGAAGCACCAGTATGACAGTACATACGGTGATAATTGTCTATAAGCAGGTGAGTAATATGATCATGTTTAGGCAGTAATGCGGGATGCTGAGCTTCGAAAGGTAAGTTACTATTAGATAATCTTCCTCCTACTCTAATAACTCCACTTTCATCGATAAAGGGGTCAAGTTTACGAAATTGTGATGAAGGTAAGTTATTTTTATGTATATCTTGAAAAAGCGATTGAAAATATAATTGTTGAACTCCGCGAATAAGATGCATTTCTGCGACGTTTAAATGTGAAGACATGATGCGAGTACTACACGGTATTAATTTTGTAAATTTAAGTATATATGAAATAATGCGTAATATTTTATTCCAGGAGGAGAACTTCAGCGCAAGCTGGTGTAATATAGAGGCGGGGGCGGAGGTAGTACAGGTAAGGGTATTACTTTTTATTTCAGGTAACTGCTCACAATTCACTGGTTTAAATGGAGATATTGGCCATTCGGCCAGAGGGCGCTGTAACCAGACGGGACCGTGCCACCATAAAGGATGCGATATCAACTGGTCAGGTAATAAACCTCTAGACAGACAGTCACTAGGATTATCTGTCGTGTTTACGTAATAAAAATGCGAAGAGGCAAGATTTTCTTGACACTTTGCTACGCGGTTACTTACAAAAACGTTCCACCTATGTGGTGAAGAATGGATCCATGAAAGGGCGATTTGTGAATCGGAAAATGCAAAGATTTTATTAATATTAATGCGGGAATTATACGTGTCTAAGACCAGCTTTACAAGTTTTGACATTAAAACAGCAGCACATAATTCCAGTCTAGCAAGAGTTACCGTTTTTGTAGGTGCGACTTTAGATTTTGCACATACTAAAGCGACATGCACTTTACCTATCGGATCCGTGACGTGTAGGTACACTACGCATCCATACGCCTTCATGCTGGCATCGGAAAATGCAACTATGTTGGTAGTACAACCAACTTCCACATTAACGTGTCTAGGTATCTTCAACGAAGAGAGATGTTTTAATTGTTGTATAAAATTATGAAAATTTGTTTGTATATCCATTGGTGGAGCATCATCCCAACCAATGTGTTGGATCCACAATTCTTGTATTAAAAGTTTAGCAAAAAGAATTACTGGTGCAGCGAATCCTAAAACATCCCATAGACGGGCAATAGCCGAGAGGATAGTACGTTTAGTACATTTCTCGTCTATAGAGCATGTTGAAAAAGTAAACACATCCTCAGAGGGAAGCCATTTCAATCCGAGTATTTTTATACTATCATTATTCGAAAAATTAATAGCGGTTCGGTTAGATTCAGGAACAGCAGATAAAAGATCCACAGAGTTACTCGCCCATTTAGTCAAATGAAAGCCGCCCTCCTTAAATAATGCAATGAGTTCGCGTGACAAAACCACTCCTTCCTTAAATGTCGAGACGGAGGTAGCCAAATCGTCCATATACAGTTCATTAGTCGCTACATCAGCTGCACGCGGGTACCCGGTCCTCTCATCTTCTGCCAACTGCCTAACAGTACGCATGGCTAGGTATGGACTGCATCGCAGCCCGAACGCGACACGATTAAACTGAAACTCACGAATAGGCTCTGTAGAATTAAAACGGTACAATATCTTTTGATATTTTCTATGTTCCTTACGAACTTCGATTCTTAGATACATTTGTTTTATGTCGGCGGTTAGTGCAATAGGAAATAAGCGAAAGTTCAATAAAAGAATTAATATATCGGCTTGTAAGTTGGGTCCCGTATGTAATATATCATTTAGAGATATGTCATTATGACACTTGGCGCTTGCGTCAAGGACTATGCGTAATTTTGTCGTCTCTTTATCATTCCTAATGACGGGGTGATGAGGTATGTAATACCCTTTACCATATTCGTTACTAGTGGGCAGAACTTCCGATAGGTAATCGTTGATAAGATATTCTTGTATGATCTCATTGTAACTAGCACGAAGAACAGGATCTTTCAATTTACGTTCTAAAGAGAGTAAGCGACGAGTAGCTACAGAACGGGAATCACCCAATATGGAGGGATCCTTAGAAAATGGCAGTGAGGTACAATATTTACCCGTAGAATCACGTGAAATTGTGTCACAGTATATTTGCTCGCATTCAGTCTCCTCCGGACTCATAAACCTTTTTGAAGGAACTTCTTCCAGTTCCCAAAATTTACATAATGTTTTATCTAAATTATCATTTTGTGTTTCCTGTTCCGAACATATGAGAAATGTTGAAGAGGCGGGTGCCGTATCGGAGTCAGCGGTTGAGGCGACTTCCCCTATAAGAATATATCCGAATACGGTTTCAATAGCGGCCGGTGCGGGAGGTGCAATAATTTTACCACCTAATAATAAATATGGGAACAATTGAGCCCCAAGTACGAGTTCAATCTGTCCAGGCGTATGCCATAGTGGATCAGCAAGCGGTATATTTAATAAACTACTAATAATCGTTGCATCGATCATGACGGAAGGCATATTCTCCGTTATGACGTCGACGACAAGCGCATCAATAGTGTAATTATACAAGTTATTTTTAGAAGAAACACACAGCGGAACCCAACCGCGAACGGTCTGCGATGCGGATCCTATACCTTTAATAGATGTATGTACATTAAGTGGAATTGGTTTTAAATTAAGGCGTTTACAACAAGCGGTTGTCACGATATGGTTTTGTGACGCGTTATCAATAAGACATCTAACATTTAACTTCTGTTTACAATCATTTAAAACGTTTATCTGTGCCGTGCTAAGCAATATTGTATTGTTGTTATTAATAACATGCGCGCGGGCACACAATGAAACTTGGTTATTAACGCACGGAGTCAGCTGAGTCGGCGGCGGGAGCTGCGCGATTGGCGGGGTTACCGCTAGCGGCGGGTGCGCGGGGCAATTACACAAAGTATGAGCGGGAACCTCAGCTGTGCTAACCGACGGCGCTGCAAGTAATGCGTGCGAGCAGGACGGCGGCGTAAAGGGTTGTTTTCGATTATTTAATTTATTGCTCAGACTAGTTTTATGTAATAGTGTATGATGTTGTTTGTTACACATTTTACAGTAATGCGAAGAATTACAACGCGACACAGTATGTGACATACTCAAACAATTTATACATGCACGTTTATTTTTGATAAACTCAAAACGTTGTTCGACCGGAAGCGATTTGAAGGTTGTACATTGGTATAATTGCAAATGATCACCATTGTTGCACATTGAACAAGATTCGATATTATCACGTGATAGCAAAGTTTTAGAGTAGTGGACTGTATTGTTATGACGCGGGCTGGCTACGGTAGGTATAACCGTAGGGCGGTTACTAGTACGATCTAATATCTTTACTTGACCTTTAATAAATTCGACAAATTCCGAATAAGAAGGGATTTCCTTATCTCTAATTGCCATTTCAAATGCCTGTGCGGTTACTGAGTCTATTTTTCGTAAAGCAATAGTTAATAGCATGAAATCTTTAAGATCGGTAATTTTTAGCTGTTCTAAGGCCGACACCGCGGCGCTAAACGATTCAATAAACGTGTCAAGCGAAGCAGCATTATTAATAGCAGGTTTTATATTCATTAAAATAGACATGTAATGAGATCCTAATGCTCGTTTGTCTTGGTACTTATTAACTAAACTTTGCCAAATACTAGCGTAGTTCTCTCCGGCTGGTACAATACCGGCCGTCAGTTTTAAAGCAGGACCTGACAATTTACCCAACAGATAATGTAATTTCTGTGAATCAGATAGACCTTCATTATCATGTACATTAATCTTGAAACACTCGTAGAAGCTTGGCCAAAGCTCAACCTGGCTATTAAACGATTTAAGCTCAATAGGGGGAGGGGTATCCCTGACCTTCCCTCCTGGACCTTCATCCGAGAGCCCTGCGACTGCGATTGCATCAATTGAGAACGAACTCTTTGAATTCGCGTATAAATATCTTCAAATGCGGTAAGTTGAGAATAATTAGGTACATACGTAGGATCCTCATCAATTTTATATTGATTTATCGTATCTATATTAGCAATAAATTCATCACGAATCACAGACAATGTTTCTGTGTCCGCCATGAACGCCTCCGTAGAACGAAGCTCAGGACTAGAAACGTTTACCTTTTTTGCCGAATCATGCAGTCTATTTATACGTTGGAAAATACAATTAATTTTAGCGTTTAATATAGAAATTTTTGCATTCATTTTTAGAGATGACAATTAGCGTTAGATATAAAATTTGATGAATATTTGATTTGATATTTGATGAATTAAACGAAATAAAAAATGAACTACCGACAAATGAAATAAAAAAGTATGTGGGTACACAGATGCGGCTTACCAGTACTCGAAAATAAAATCGACAGGTATGTAGCGGTATTAAAGAAATATTGCGATTGGTATGTAGGCATATAAAGAACAATGCGGTTTTAGCGATGAATGTGACTAATTATATTTACGCGGTTTATATTGATATAGAAAAGGTAGATATATTTTTTTTTTTGTAAAGCGGTTAATTATTACTGCGGTATTGAATATAAACTAGGATATGTATTTTAGCGGTTGTGAATTAGAAAATAATAGAAATAATAACACGTTGTGCTGGTGGGCGGATGCGATTAATTATTAAGAGGGTACAAAATGGCGGATGCCGTGTAATATTAAGATGATGAAATGCTAGTTCAAGCTAGTTTTTTTTTTTTTTTTTTTTAAATCCGGTTCGATAGGTACCATCAAATGGTGGGTTTTATAGGAGAAATCTAGGTGTGGCAGGGATAACGAAAAGGATTTGAGGACTCACCGTCTTGTCGTGGGCTATCATATGATGTCCTGTGCAGGCGCCTTGATTTCTTCCGTCACTTTGTCACCAATGTACACACACTAAAATATTGTCTATAACACAGCACTTCAAAATTATGTAAGCGGCAACGCTTTAAATGTTACAGTTTGCAGCACAACAATTTTATTAATATTTTCTTAAACACGTAATTACTCGTTGATTGCGGAGGTCACATTGACGGTTAGGATTGAAGACAGCTCTGAAGTTTCTTATAATCTTCCAGCGTCCTCATTGGTTGTTATAACTCGGAGGTAAAGACGATGACGGTGATTGGAGAGGATAGGATCAAGGGAAATGAATTTAGCACTAGGTATCGATTATTATTATTGAACTAGCATATATAATGAGAATAAATTTATAATTGTTACGAAAAATATATAAAATTAAAGAAACGCGCGAACATAATTCTTCTTTCATCCATCCTCTCCAAATGACTCTTCGTACTATTTCAGATATACTATCGTAGCGGTGAACTCCTTTGAATCTCTGAAAGGCTAATGCCACCGACTTCCTTATAGATCATTCATAATTTAATGTGCTATTAAACCAATAAAATTTCGTGTATTCCTAGATCAAATATTTAAAGCTGTGCATACGATACGTTTAGTACCTATCTTTTGATTTATTACGCCTGGTAGCCAACAATCCGCGTCAGGGTAATTTCACTCTGGTAACACATCTTGTACCACACTGTTGTACTCGGAACAAGTGTGCGGTGGATACCGCGAGCGTCTCGCTTGCTTAGCGTCTGGTGTTGTAGTACTTAGCGTGCTAGTTCTTGTTTTAAATTGTTTTAAATCTTTAGCCGCATTCTCAAATTACGGCTCTGTAAGAGTTTTATTGTACTATTATCTCCCGTCGTATAATGATCTGTATTCCTATACGCTAACAGATGTCTATTCGCTCCGTTTGATGCCAGATGATACAACGCCGTAAAAATATGTTCCAATCCATTTGTATTTAAGAAAGCTTTGAACTCTGCATTTGAAAATGGGGGGCCATTGTTGCTAACGAGTTGTTTAGGTAATCCCATCCTTGCCTACATTTCTCTTAAGACATTTGTTAAGAACATAACCGTGATAGTCTTCGCTCTTATTGCCTGTATCCATTTCGAGCAGGCATCCACAGCCACCAAATATGAGATATCTGCGATAGGTCTAAAGAAATTCACGTGATGTCGCAACCAACGTCTCTCGAACCAAGGCCAGTATTGTGGTGCTTGTGCGGATGGCGCATCCGCGTCACTAGCACACACTACGCAGGCTCGGCGCGTGCTCTCTACTGCTTCGTCTGTACCCGGCCACCATACATAGCTTCTAGCTAAACTTTTAGTCTTCGCTGTAACCATGTGGCCTTCGTGCAGTTCCGACAAAACTTTTGACCTACATGTAACTCTACATGTACTGGACATGTAACTCGATGTCGCCACGTTATACATCTTTGGTGGTAGGTGCTGTTAGTATGCGATTGAAAATGACTGGACGACTAACAGTTTGTGCTGATCCTTTTTATTTTTACGCACACATGATTTCATGCGAATAATAGAAGGAGCAGATTAGTAAATGAAAGAAAGCACAGAGAAAGTATAGCGCAGCACAATAAAGCGTAAGCGTAGTTAGTACAGAGTGAGGTGCAGCGATATGGGTAGGCTCAGTGTCAAGTAATCACGACTGGTTTTTTGCATAGCTCGGTGCCCGTGCACCAGCCTGCCGGTCGATCAGCAACAACATAGAATAATAGGGGAGTAGGAGTGACGATACGACAAGTATTGTCATATGTATGTATGGTGATTTTAGATTCAATTTTGAACTTTGAGTGAGTGTTTGACACCGGTTCTGCGCGGACACGTATTACTTTGTTCCGTATTCTAAAATCTTTTGTTGTAGTTTAAATTCGTAGTATTATAGTACAATACACATTATTTTAAAGCTAAAGAATAATCCAAAGCGACAGTGAAGTTAAATTGAGATTCCATTAAGTATTTATTTCATTAAATTAAGATATATTTCAGTAAACATATTTAAAGTTTTATTGTAACCGCCGCTTCAATATCATGCTCTCATCGCAGGCATTTGACCTTGAAGGTTCTGCGTGTGACGTACCGCCGGTCGCCGCTCAGGAGTATCAACAGGTTGCCCATTAATCGCTAGTGCTGTACGGTAGTAGTAGAAGTGTAAACATGCCGAAGTCGTGTTTTGCCTGCAGTACTGCGATTCAGAGCCCAGAATACATGGAGTGCGAAAAATGTAAAAAGTATTATGACTTAATGTGTCTTAATTTAAAGAAAGAAGAGTGGAAGAGGATAATACAAAAGCAAAAGAATAAGTGGTCGTGCCCCCTGTGCTCAAGCTCTCGACCAAAAGGTGATAATTCCAACACTCCTGCGCGTCCGACCACAGTCATCCTCGACGACAATCAAATAGATAGCGAAAATGTGAATACAACGCGAGGCTCCAGAGGTAGGACTGTATACACAGCTGTTGAAGGTAACGTGAATTTGTCCGATTTAATGTATGAAATAAAGAAACTGAGGGAAAAACGGTTGAGATAACTTCCTTACGAAAAGAACTCACAGATGTGAGTCTCAATCTCAAAAGGAACTTGAATTTCAGGAGCAAAATGCTATTTCAAACAAATTTGAGGTGATTGGTATACCAGAAGATAGCGGCGAGAATTTGATCAACACTGTAATTACCACCACTAAAGTATTAGGAATAGACCTTATAGAGTCTGAAATATGGTGTGTAACACGAGCCGGAGCTATGCCTGCACACACACTTAAAACTGGACAAGAGTTAAAATCACGTCCCATTCTAATTAAATTCGTGCGTCGAACTAAGAAAGACGAAATTGTTAAGGCTAGCAAAGCATATAAAAAGCTCACCACAGAAGGAATAACCAATGGACCTCCCAAAACGGTATACATCAACTCATCCCAGCTATTACAGAACCTACCCGTAATAAATCGTGCCTTGATCACGTATATATTAACAATCCATCTGGAACAGCCCTAGGTTTAATTTGTAAGAGTAATATAACCGATCATGATATCTGTATTGCCGGTCTCTCAACTGCAATCAATTCAAATAAAAAAAAAAAAACAGATTTTTCGTAAAACGGACTCACTGGGAGTACTCAGGGAACTAGCTGAGGCTGATTGGTCCACCGTCTTTGAAAGTCAAGAAGTCAATAAAGCCGTTGAACTCTTTTCCACTGTTCTTCAAAATGCATTAGAAAGTAACTCAAAATACATTACTACTCGTCAATTATATGGTATATTAAAACCTTGGATTACTCCCGGTTTGGTGAGATGTCAGAGAATAAGAGACAAGTTATATATCAAGCTAGAAAAAACCCCTCTGATCCAATAATACAAAGAAACTATAAACGTTATTGTAATTTTCTTACAGAACTATTGACTAGAATTAAAACAAAATATTACAACGAACAACTTACTGATAACAAACATAACTCAAAAAAGCTATGGTCAACAATTAAGGAAATTCGTCACATTTCTAGAATAAAGAATGAGGCAAATAATCTCATTAAGCTAAATGAAGATCCAATACAATCACTAAACATCAGCAATAAATTTTTCACAACTATTGGTAAAAACTTGGCTGAGAAGACCCTTGCAAAGCTCAATATTGAGGAATCAGACTTGTCCTCTAAAGTACACACGCACACACGCACGCACGCATGCACGCGCGCACGCACGCACGCACACACACACACACACACACACACACACACACACACACACACACACACACACACACACACACACACACACACACCTCTTTTCTATAATAAATATATGTAATAGTATTAGAAATAAGTACCTTATGGAACCTCAAATATTTTGTATTAATTTACTCTTCTTTTTTTCTTGTTTAGTTATGTATTTTATTTTTTATTATTTCATTTCAAATGTATTTTAATTTTCGAGTACCTAAATGATATAATTGTACAAGAAGCGGACTGTAAATGGCAATGAATATGAACTAACTTAATTAGCCACTCTCTGACTACTACTGTACAGGCCTGCGAGCCTAGTGTAGTAATCACTGTATAATAAACTGTGTACCCGATTTTTAGCTACAATAAAGTTATTATTATTATTATATATACTTGTGTATGTATGTGTTCAGGAAAATAACAAGTTTCTAGTACATTTTGAAACAGTCTTTTTATTGTCATATTTTTACAGTACAATGCCATAAGTTGTGGAAAGCCAGTATTGGTTTTTTGTGTTCTGGAAACTGGCAAATTTTCCAGAAAGCATTACATTTTATCAACATTGCACTGTGCATATCTGATAATGGAGTATTTAGTTCAGTTAGAATTTTATTTGCCTCTGTAGTTGCGCATAACATGGGCCATGCTTCGTAGATATGCAGACAGGACATGAATACCCTCGTGTTTAGGATTATTTTCAGCACCGGATTCAGAATTACAATTGATTTCAGATGTATGAGTCTCATAGAATACCAGAGGGAGACTTTGTACAAAAGTCGATTGCTTGGGTACCTCTGTCCTATTCGTGTTTCAACCGTGAAGCAGTTGTGTTTGCATGACTGTGTTTCGGTTTGAAGGGTGAGATATGGCGTGAATTTACAGGGTACAGAAGAATAACATCGTCCTCAGGAATGTTAACGCATGGGGGGTATCATGGGCGAAACAGTACCATGTATGTACCAGTATAGCCTATGTTACTCAGGGTGAATGAAGCTTTCTAACGGTGAAAGAATTTTTCTAATCGGCAAAGTAGTTTTCGAGTTTATTCATTACAAACATACATACACACAAAAATACAAATCTTTCCTCTCTATAATATTAGTGGAGATGTATATTAGAAATGTTTTAATTAATAAACAAAAAAATGTGCATACCGAATGGGTATGTAGCGTTAATATTTATTATTCGAATGCTAGTATGCGATGGACGAGAGTTTCGAGAGTGATCTGGCTACCCCATTTCTAATAGTATTTTTCATTTATTAATTTATACTTATAATAAATCTGTAGAGAGGTCAATTCTGTACATGAAATATATTTCCAAAATAACTATCAGCGGGTGATTAGTGATCGATACTGATGCCAAAAATGCAATCAGTAAGATTTTTGCCAGTCTGTCTGTATGTTCGTTATAGAAACAAAAACTACTCGACGGATTTTAACGAAACTTGGTACAATTATTCTTTATACTCCTGGGCAGGTTATAGTATACGCTTCATCACGCTACGATCAATAGGAGCAGAGCAATGAAGGGAAATGTCGGGAAAACGGGAGAAGTTACTCCATTTTTAAACTTCCGTCGCGTGTGCAGCCTTAATGGCCACTTTTTAAAATGTAAAAATGTCCACCCGTGCGACGCCGGGACGGGCCGCTAGTTTACATTATAATAATGACTCGATAATGACGTAAATAACTACACGTGTAATCAGCGTTAGCAGTACTGTAGGTCAACATCCGAACTGCAATGCAATAATCAGCTAGTCGCGAATTATGCAGCATAGGCGAAATATAACGCCAGTGGCCTTAGAATCTAATACCGATGTCCCAATACTGTGAGTTCTAGACGTATTAATTTTTTTTTTTTTATACAACTTAGAATGGCAAACAAGCTGACGGCCCACCTGATGGAAAGTGGTAATCGTCGCCTATAGACATGAGCAGTACCGTGGACATAACAGAGTATACTGTTTCGCCCATGATACCCCCCATGCGTTGCCATTCCTGAGGACTCAGGTGTTATTCCTCTGTACCCTGTAAATTCACGCCATATCCCGCCCTTCAAACCGAAACACAGCCATGCAAACACAACTGCTTCACGGTTGAAACACGAATGAGACAGAGATATCCAAGCAAACGACTTTTGTACAAAGTCTCCGTCTGATTATTTTTTTTAATATATATAGTTCTAGTTATTTTGTAATCCCTGTGTGGGTATTGTTGTATGTTTGTACAAAATAAAATTTCTTTGTTTCATTCTTTTAATTATTTATTTTAATAATTTCATTGTATTATTCGAAATATAAGTAAAACTAGCGACCCGGCCCGGCTTCGCACGCAATGCTGATATAAAATAACGCTAACTGACCTGCTTTTTCATCGTCACCTATCATCCCTCGCTGGTGCTCCACCAGCGTATACCCAGAGCGCAAGTCACAAAAGTCTGAGGAATTTCGTTTCGGTATGGAGGTGATGCAAATGGGATCAATTGCTGCTAGCGAGGGGAAAGGGATTGTCAGCAATGGAGTTTGACAGCCGCATTGCTAGCAATATACCCAACCAGGTCGACCTCCTCGCGGTTCCCCCTTGAAACTATCATGGTTAGTTAATTCCTGATGAATTCATCATGATGGGCAAACTGGCCTGTTTTCATTCTCATCTATCACCCTTCACTGGTGCTCCGCCAGCGTATCCCGTTAGCGCG